CCGCGGCCATTCCCATCGGGGTGTCTGTGCTCGGTCTCACGGGCAACTTGGACCCCCTGACCCCGTCAAAGCATGCCCGACGACACTTTAACAACATGAAAGGCGACAACAAGAAACTGGTTGAGTTCCCCGTGGCAGTGCATGGCGTCATTGGGAACACCCCTCTGTCGGACAACCACACTGATCCCCACTGCGGCTTGCTTGTGGTCGCCGATTTCCTTCTCGCCAACGGCGCGCTGGACGCGATAAACTTGAACTGCATGGACAAGGTGCAGCCTCTCAATTTCGACATCCCGGACGCCTTGGCCCTCGAACTGTTTGGTCTGGACGGCGGCGCCATGGACGGCAAACTGCACACCCCCGCGCAAGGTGCCAAGGACTACAAGTCCAATTATACATACTCACATGAAGGTGGGCGTGATCGTCCTCAGCTTTACAGTCGTCGGCCTCGGGCTCAATGCGCTCCTGAAACATAGTAAAGCCAAAGCGACGCGAGGCAAGTACGCAGTCTACGAAGACGCGTGCACGGGCAACGCTTCTTGACCAGCCCGAAAGTCGCCACATTCTCAAGAGAACGAAACCCCCGCCAGTGCAAGTGCATCGTTGTAAATGTGTATAATTGAGTTTGACGGTAAACCTTTGGGGAGTTGTTATTGGCCGAGCCTCTGTGTGCCTGAGTGTGGGTAGCCGAATGTTGGTCACGAACGACATTTGAAGAGTGTGAAATATGACCTGGATCGTAGCGGCATATGTTCCGAGCTGATGGTACACTGTACGATGCATGACTTGTAGAGAGTAGTGAAGTGATAGAAGGGAACTGACTGATTGACTGTATAATGAAGTTGCTTTTGGATTTGTCATCGAGGTCACCGTTGTGAACACGGTAGTCGTCGATTGCGAACACCGGCGCAAGGCAACAAAGAATTCTTTAGCTGTTTTACAGACACGCTAGCGACTGAACGCATGGAGTTTCCCGGAACAGGAAACGAGCATGCCTTGGACGTGGAGCTACCTGTTAGCGACCACGGGGACTCTATCCGAGCTCGATCCCGGTCGGATCGCTCGAGGAGTCCTGCGGCCCGTGCACCGAGCGTGGACCGCTTTGAAGACAGTGGAAGTCCCCGGACCAATCCGACTGCGCGGCGGCTGTTCCGGTTACCACATGGAAGGCAACAACCGGTGGCGGTTCATGAGGCCTGGAGTTACGGGAGACCGTCGATGTTCGGGCTCCCGGTTTGGCGGTACATCCGGGACTGCGCCCGGACCTACGATGGACAAGGAAGTTGTGGATATGGGACAAAACAACATGCACCTGCACAACGCCCCGGCCCTCCCGAAGAACCCGACGTTCGAGGGATCCACCAAGAAAGAACGACGTGCTTTTATGGCCGCGTAGAATCTGTATATCGGCCAGACGAATGCACTGACTGCCAACGGGGTCCGAACGTTCATTATGTCCGTGAGGGTGTGTATCGAACCTGCGACAAAGCAACGTATTGCCGAATGGGACATGGGAAAGGATCCCGATGACGTGTCCGAGGGCGAATGGATTGCGTGGTTCACGCAAGGTTTCGTCGTCGATCCCCGGGCCCTGGACACCCTGAAGATGCGGATCAAATCTGCTGTTGTTTTTGATATGTCGGTCCCGGACGCGGATTCCCGGATCGGACGTATGCTGGATGGTTTGGCTGCGGCTATCCGTCGGGACCGCCAGGAGTGGGTGATCCGGGAAGAGAGCCAGGCGATCGTGAAGATCATCACGGACGCCATCAAGACTGCGTCGTTACGCCGTTCTGTTACCGAGCAGATGGCGTTAATGCGAAACAAGCCTCTGAAGAAGGATGTGTACCGTTTCGTGGGCTGGTTGCGGGAATATGCTATCGGTCACGAGCGTTTTGTGGGTTACGAAGAAGAGTTGAAGCCGCCCACGAGAATAGACCTACCGAAGCCGCCGGGGTCGAAGGTCCTGGGAGGACCCAGGGACCCGAGGGGAGACACGAAGCCCCTGACACCTATTCCGAACGCACCGGCTATCGGTGCACCGAACAACGGTTGTCTGAAGTGTAAATCGACCAGCCATCGGGTCCGAGAATGTCCCGGGATCACCCCCGAAGAGGTCAAGCAACTGCTAAGAGCACATGGAAGTACGTTCGGACGTGGTCGGGGCGAGAAAGGAGCCCCGGGAGTACCTGGTGGCCGCGTGGCGACGGTGAAGACGAATGTCCCGGACGCGAAACGGCCTGAGCTCCCGGCTATTGTGGACGGTGTTCTCCCCGTGCAGGCATCACTCTTGGACTCAGGAGCTGATTTGTCGGTGGCCTCCGGAGGCCTGGTTTCTGCGCTGTTGGCTGCGGGAGCATCTCCGGAGATTACAGTCATGGGTCCGATGGAACTCCGACCGTACGGGGCGGATAGCCAGGTGATTACTGTGACGAAACAAGTTCGCCTGGGCAGCCTGGAATTCAAGACCACGTGCGGGCCGTTGATGTTGCGAGGGCTGCGGGTCTGGGTCGATGAGACCGTAGCACCTGTTGAGCCTTGCGCTGGGCCTGCCCGTGATGCAGAAATTGGGCTACAATGAGCAGACGTTGCTGGAAAATGCACGTCGGCAACAAGCCGTATGGGATTTTGGGGATCAGCCGATCACGACTCCGGGAGTCGCGATGCACCGTACCCTGCGGATGGGAGAGTTGTCAGAGGGTATCGACGACGACGAAGGGATGGCGTATTCAACGCCAGAACTTGGAGATGCACCTGACGACGACGGTCTAGTGCGTACTGTCCTGAATGCCAAGGTGGCCGAGGCGGCTACCGCGGGCATGCCAGCAGAAGCTGTCGAGCAGCTCCGGGACCTGTTGATGGAGTTTCGGGACGTGTTCCGGCTGAAGTTCGGGAGAAACCCGCCGGTGAAAGTGGAACCGTTGAAGGTGCGCCTCAAGGAAGGGTCTGTGCCGGTGAAGTCGGGACTGCGCCGCTACCCTCCCACTCATATGGCGTTCCTGGAAAAGCATGTCCGGGAGCTGGAAGAAGCGGGTCTGGTGTACCGAAGTACTAGATCGTGCTGGGCCTCGGCCCCGAGGATTGTCCCGAAGAAAGATCCGGGAGACCTCAGTATGACGATTAACTCGAGACCGATCAATGCGTGTACCGAGCCGATGCCCTGGCCCATGCCGAATCTGGAGGTGGCCATGGTTGTACTGAAGGGCTCGAAAGTCTAATTCAAACTGGACTGGATGAAGGGGTATTGGCAGCTGTCTCTACACCCGGACTCCCAGGAGTACTACTCCTTCATGACTCCCGTAGGGGTTGTGACCCCGACCCGAGTCCTGATGGGCCAGACCGATGCGGTGGTCTATTGCCAAGGGGTGGTCGATGAGTCGTTCGGGGACCTCCTGATGCACGGACTGCTCGGATGGTTGGATGATTTGTTGGGGTATGCCCCGACTACGGACGAGTTGTTGCACTTGTTGCGTAAAGTGCTTGAGATCTGCCATGCGTATGGACTGAAGTTGCACCCTGGGAAGTGTGTATTTTACACCACCCGGACCGTATGGTGTGGGAAAGAGATTTCGGCGGACGGCGTGGCGCATGCCCCGGACCGGAACCTGCTACACAGGTTCCGGTCGAGGATCTGGCCCTACCGGCAAGCGATCAGCGACATGAACCACTGGCGTTCCTGAGCGGATCGTTCCGGGGAGCGAGCGGGCGATGGCCGATTGTGGAGAAGGAGGCGTTTGCGGTTGTCGAATCGTGCAAGCGCCTGGAGTATCTCCTGATCCGTCCGGGAGGGTTCCGATTGTTTACGGACCACCGGAATCTGGTGTACATGTTTAACCCTCTGGGGTCGAACTCGAACATGGCAAGTACCAGGCCCACAAGCTCCAGCGCTGGGCGTTGACGATGACGGCGTTCCCGTACGTCGTGGAGTGTGTGGCGGGAGAGGAGAACTTGTGGGCGGATCTCCTGAGCCGTTGGGGAAGTCCTCCTGGACCGGACCGGAGCTTTCCGGTGGAGTCCCGGAGTGCCCGGATGTCCAGACTGGCCCTGGTGTCCCCCTTACGGCACGAATAATTTGTGTGGCCGACGGCGAATGCGATCACGGAATTGCAGCGCGGCCCCATCCGACATGTGAAAAATACGCCCCCTGGAGCGCCGAGAAGAAGAGTTTTCTGACGGCAGCTGGGAAGATCTGGATCCCGGGAGATGCATTGGATATGCAAGTGCGTATATGTGTGGTGGCTCATGCCGGCGTTGCGGGACACCGGAGAGTGGAAGCGACAACGGCATCTGTTGCGGAGATGTTTGATTGGCCTACCCTGAAGACCGACGTGAAAAACTTCGTCAATGCCTGCCTGCATTGTATGGTGGTCGATGGTGAGTCGGTACCCCGTCCCTGGAGTGAAGCGCTGCATGCCACGAAGCCAAATGAGTTGATTCATTTTGATTGGCTGTCGCTCCCGTAGGCTCCGGGAAGCCTGAAATACGTCCTGGTCATCAAGGATGATATAAGTGGGTTCGTTCGGTTACATGCCAGTACGACAGCGTCTGCAGCAGAGACGGCCGCGGCGTTGATGGAATGGTTTGGACTGTTCGGCGTGGTCAGGACCTGGGTATCCGACTCTGGGTCCCATTTCAAGAACGAACTGGTCAGTACCCTGGGTCGTATGTTTGGTGTTCATCATCATTTTGTCACACCACACTGCCCCTGGGCCAACAGGACAGTTGAGGTGGTGAACCGGATCGTCATCCGGACCCTGAAGACCCTGTGCAGCGAGATGCGCTTGCAACCCGGAGACTGGCCGGGGGTGTTACCCCTGGTACAGTCTGCCCTGAATCAGCAGCCGGTCGACCGTTTGGATGGCGTAGAGCCAACAACAGCGTTTACGGGCCTGCCTGCTACACCTCCCTTGACTGGACTGGTCCACCCGGACGAGCCCCGGGAGGTAACGATCGACTGGATTAAGTCCCGGGCCATACGCCACGTGACAGAGCTCGCAGATGCTCTGGGAATTATGCACAAGCACGTGGCAGAGACGGTGGCAGCAAAGCGCGCTATAAGGCCCGGTGCCGTCGTGATGGCCAACGTTCCGTGAAGCTGGCGAAATTTATGCTGGGCGATTTTGTTTTGGTGGCCCGGGCCCTCCAGCATCCGGGAAAGATATCGTTGCGTTGGAAGGGACCCTTTCGGGTCGTGAAGGTGGTCTCCGACTACCTGATGGAAGTCCAGCAGCTGGTGCCTCCGGGAGCGACGTCCCTGCACCATGCGTGCCGGCTCCGCCTGTACTGCGAGGGTGGTTGAAGACCCAAATCGCGTTCGGCGATGAAGGTTTTTACGTGGAAGACCTCCGGGACCTGCGTCTGCGAGATGAGGTCTGGGAAGTCCTGATCAAGTGGCTTGGCCTGGACGATCTGGAGTCGTCCTGGGAACCGGCCCTATCGATCTACGAAGACGTTCCTGTGCTATTCCGTCGCTGGGCCAAGGCCCGGAGCAACGAAGACGGCGTGTACGAAATGATCGACGATCTCACGAGTGCATGTGGTCACCCGATGTATGGGGGGAAGTGTTATCGGCCGAGCCTCTGTTCGACTCCCCGTGCCTGAGTGTGGGTAGCCGAATGTTGGTCACGAACGACATTTGAAGAGTGTGAAATATGACCTGGATCGGAGCGGCATATGTTCCGAGCTGATGGTACACTGTACGATGCATGACTTGTAGAGAGTAGTGAAGTGATAGAAGGGAACTGACTGATTGACTGGATAATGAAGTTGCTTTTGGATTTGTCATCAAGGTCACGGTGGTGAACACGGTAGTCGTCGGTTGCGAACCGGCGCAAGACAACAGGAGTATGCATCAGGCCTCGGAAAAATACTATGGAATACGTACTGTAGTAGGGAAGGCGATCAAAATGAAACCGTACTTATGGAAATATGCATACTGGCTGCCCTACTATATTTCCCTATTTGAAGTATTTGATAACGATCCCCTACTAAGGTACCCTATTTTCCCTAAGGGTGACTTGGAACTCGCGCGTCCCAAAATCGCTGCTTCACATGCAGGGACAGCAGCATCTCCACATGGACATAATACAAACTTTGGCGATGGTCTGTAAGGATCATTTTGGCAGCGACGAACAAGTGTTTAACATGTTCGACGGACGAAGCTGCAGCCATTCTTGCCGCCAGGTATCTGCATATTCCTCTACCGTAAGTATATTAATTACTCCGGAGTATCCCTTACTTAAGTTATACCGATCTCAATCGATCAAGGCCCTGTTCGCGACATCCTTCAAGTGATGCGGGTCATGCTGCGAGAGTACCACCTAACTGAACAAGAATGGGACTACCTATTGCGGTGGTCGAAGCCAACCTCAACTAAACATCGGCTTCATCACTGGCGAGCAAGTCGCCTCTGGAGCTGTTTACGGCATTAAACCCGGCGACTCCCCTGGATGTCATCGTGGTGGGCATGAACAAGGAACTCCGAGAAAGCGACTGGACGGTCAAGGATATCCCAAAGAACCTGGACAAGCTGCCTGCTAGCCTGCAAGTTGTGCACAAAGAAATCCTAGACAAAAATGCGATGCGTGGGGCGAAGGCTACCGAAAAGTACGAGCAGTGCAATGTCAGCGAAGGCGATTTTCTGCTCTGGTCCCGCGTCGACGAACGCTACCATCCCAAGCTGCTAATAACCCGGACGGGCCCCCTACCGAGTCAAAGAAGTGGGCAAATACTCCGTCGTGCTGGAGCACCTGGTGACTCATGAGCTGCGGGAAGGCCACACGTCAAGCATCAAGCTCTACGCCGAAGACAGCTTTGAAGTGACCGAAGAGATCCTCGAACACGTTTCCCAGCAAAGGATCATGCTGAAGGTCAAGTCCATCGCGGGACATAAGTTTGTCCCGGATGTGAAAGACTTCATCCTGGAAGTGCTTTGCGTAGGTTTAAGGATATCGAGTCCTCATGGGAACAGCTACAGAAGCTCATGCATGAATGCCCGGTCGTGGTGAGGAACTACGTTGAAGGCGTGAACAAAGCGAGCGATGGCGATACGGTGCACAAGGCGATGGAGCGAGCGAGCGCGAAGAACTAGCGAGGCCCAAGTGTGTCCTGCGGGACATGGCTTGGGGTGTGTGTTGTGATGGGTGACTTAATCCAAGTCCCGTGGTAACATCAAGTCAATCAAGTGTGCGGTTTGCAGGGAGTCAGCACTCCCCCATTTGGTTGTTTGTGTTGGCACTGGCTGGGCAACAACACACATCCACTTATTCAGGTACGTTTTAGGTCAATTGTACCAAATTCCTGAGTGAGTGGTCCTTGTACAAATTTGTAACACCCCATGGTTAAATGAGTTTTGGATTATAATTATTAAGACATTCCTCCGCGAGGGTCGATATTAGAACCACATGTTGTGGAACCGCTTCGCCAATTGTAACGCGCCTGCTCAACCAGGGGCGGTGTGTACTCTTCGGTTTTTACTTCGTTCAATCCTTCATACCTCGTGCTTCGACCGCTATTCTTCGAAGTTCGGTCCTCGACTTCGTATCAGTCCTTGTTATCCGGATTCCCCAGTGGAGAGACGGATAATTCCTTGCGGAAATAATCCGGGGATCGAACCGACGACCATTGAGTTAAGATACCGATGCTCTATCACTGAGCTATTTTCCCTCCCATGTAACACCCCATGGAATCAATCATGTGGGCATTGTGTCGTATTTATGTCCAATCAAAACCATAACGTTCATTGATTGGATAAAATAATGGAGGTATCTTGCTGCTGATTGGTTGAAAAAAGTTGTGTGCCACTCAAAACCTTAAATTCCCTTGTCACCTGTATTTCTTCCAAGTTGGACAAACGCACAACAGTGGATTGCAGTGTAGGCCCTCGTGGCAGAAAGGTTGCGTTGAACACCAAACTGTACATCCGTTCAATTGTGGTATACTAGTAGTCGGAAATGGATTTAACCCAAAGCAACGATGGGTTATACTGTAGCCCAGCTCGGCTGCACCTCCAACGAACGGCTCAGTGGCAATCCACGAAACCACATATAGCAAGATAAAGGCCACTCAGCCCATTTGGTCCTTTGTGGACATATCCAGTAGTTCGTTGCACCTCAAAGCAACGGCCCTATTGAATTAACGTAAAACTAGATATACCAGAAAGGGACGAATAGTTCTTATTGCGGTCAGCGCTATTGAAGGGCGAAAGGGGGGAAGGGATGTGACTGAATGATATTCCTGTCCACATGGGCAAAAATGTCGACGAGGCAACACGCGAAATAAAATTCAGAGTGCAATTCATCGGTTACGTGGAAGATTTTGCTCGTGTCGTGTCGAAACGCCAACAATGCCGCGCCATAATCCGCGAAAAGTTTCCGGGACAGAAGATAGTGTTGGCCACGGCACTCACACATCCATTGGTAGTCTTCCATAGTTTTCTTAGTTGGTTTGGCCTTGAAGGAGAACAAACCAAACGCATTCAATGCCGCATGGATGTTATGCTCCTGCTCAAAGTTGATCTGGCCTTAGTGAAGGTGAATCCAACGTCGTGTTCGATGTCTTGGCGAACTGAAAGCAGGTTGAACTGGAGAGTTGGGCAAAACAACACCAGGCGGACGAGGAATGGGCGGCAGGGGCTTGAATCAGTAGCAACTGATATCAACACCACCTCATAGCCGTCCACGGGTGAATTGGTCGCCATTGCCAACCGTGGGGAATAGGTTGCAAGGCGTGATGGCACCACAGAACCAATCGGTGCGGGGGGTCACGGAGCACGATGCACCGGAGTCAACAATCCAGTCATCCTATAGCATAGCACCAGGTGGTAGAACTGTCTTCGTCTGGGGGATACGTGGCGTGCTGACCGCCAAGCCAAACAAGTTGGTACCACCATGTTGGGGGTGAACCGAAATGGTGAAGGACATGAGCTCGACGCTAATAGTGTTCACACGTGTTGCGAGGTCATCGAAGAACTTCGACAGAGGCGGGGAAGAGGGGTCTCACCGTAGAACTGCGGCGCAAACTTATCGCGATGATATCGTAGGCGCTCGGCGCGGTAATCTTGAACCTCGATAGTCCGGCGATCCACATCAGCCGCTGACATATCGGTTCGGATTCGAAACTTTGAGGGCACCTGGTGCCCTCAAAGCTCACGCAGGATGTTGGTTATTTTTTGGTTGGGTTGGTTCATCAAAACAGATAATGAATGTCAGCACTCAACCTTGAGTTCCAATGGCGTGTGGCCATCCAAACGTTTGAATGGCCACACGCCATTGAACTGAAGGTAGGAATGCCAACAAACGAATTATTCCTTTGTGATTCAATACTTATTCATTTCTGTAAGCTTTGAGTATAACCTATTTTCATGCTCGAGAAATCAAGGTTATTTACTTTGGGCCAACGCGGTGTCGCAAGAGGTCTTTGTAGCACCCATCGCAAGTGCTGAAGTGGAGGCTTTAGCACTTTGCGTTTGCGATGGGTGCGCAATCACGTGATCACACCGGCAGGGAGGTGTACGGCACCGACACGGGCTGGATGGTGGAATGAGGGATGGCCAATTTCATTGGGTTAGTAGGCAAGTGGTGAAACGAGACCTGTTAGAATTGACCGAGTCCTGAATACCACATCACATGCTCTTACTCTCATACACAGCCTACACAATTATCTCAAGGCTCCTTGCATCAACCGTCATCACAGGAGTAGAATATATCGCAACAGGGTGTGATGAATCTACGTTGAAGAGCATTTGTCCATTCTACAACGAGATGGAGAGCATTTGTCCATTCTACAACGAGATGAATGCACTCTTTGGGGGCGCGGCAAAACTTTCGACCGTCGCACATTGTAGAAACGAGTTATGTGCAAGGTGAAAATATGGAAATACTGAATCAAACAATGATAATTTAATGCAACCCCGCAACCATGTAGAAGATTCGAGTAAGAACGAGTACGATTCATCGGATGGCCTAAACAGCGACGATGGCGAAACGAATGACCATGAAGTCGTCGACGACGCACATTTCGGCCACCACCCCATGTACACCAGCAACCAAGACGACCGTGAGGCCCACGACGACCCCGACCATGATGCCTACTGGACAAAGAACGATGTGGAGGACCCCGGCCGCCCCACAAACACCCCGGACAACCCACCGCGGCCCATCGGCATACCAGCAGCTCTCCCATCTCTGGCTGCGGGCAATCCCAAGGCCAAACCGACTATCCCCCGCCAGTTCCCGGCTCCCGAAAAACGGCTCATCCCGCGCAGTGACACAGCTC